ATGCCGAGCCCCATCAAAGCCGTCGAGGGCGCCGCCGCCCGTGAAATAGCCGTCTGCACCTGCCCGCGCACCCGAACACGACGGGCGCCGCAGGCCTCCCGGCAGCGGCGGCGCGCGCCGGCGCCCCGGTGAGGTGGAGCACGCCCTGCACCAGCACCTCGGAGGTGGAGGTGTTGGCGGACACGTCATCGACCTCAGACGGGCAGCTGCCGTTGGTCGCGGGCGAGCAAAGCGTTGGGGACGGTCGCGACAGCGCGTTGTCGCGACGCCACCGCTTGTTTCGTCGACGACCCCTGCGGGCTGTAGGGGCGGAGCCGCGTCGCGGCCTGCCCGGTGACGTTGGTGATGGACGCGCACTGCTTGCAGTCGCACGGCACCCAGAAGAGGTTGCTGCCGGTTTAGGTTGCCGTCTCGGCGCTCAAACGCTTGGTCAGGGAGTGGCACACAGGGCAAACGGCAATTTCACTCATCCTTCCTGACTGAGGGCACTTCGGTCTTTTCTCCTCGTCGTTACACACCGTTACCAGCGAAAATGGACGGAATGACTTGGGGAGCAAAGAAATAAAGTGTCATGGCACCTAGGTAAGTCCAAACATTTTAGTGGCCTGTAGGAAAAAACCATCTTTTTTAATGGTACGCAGTCAAATGGCTCGTTTCTGTTCCCCACAAGAGCATCTCGATCGATCTCTCCCACACTTCTTTGGCTCATAGGTCGATCACGGACACACTGCTGGCTCATAGGTCGATCGGTTTGGGCTGGACGACGGTTTTTGTGAGACTGAAAATACGTTGTTCAGGGTTACAAGGGACAGTGAATGAATGCATCATGCATCATGCATCATCGTATCCCACCACTATATATTGCCGAGCAGCGCGATCCCACGGAAGGCTTTGCCTTGGCGTTTGCCCACCATCGATCACCATCAACGCGTACGAGGATCTCTCATCTTTCTTGCCTTTATTCCTCAACCCATCACATCCCTCTCTTATATATCTCTCTGTGCCCTCCAAACCGCGGAGTTCTAACCTTCATATTATATCCTCAAATTTTAATCTCTTATTATCTTTATAGTAAAATAGTGTCTGACGGTGTCATCTCGATCCACGGACTTCTAAAGTGATATGTGGGTCCCTACATTTGGTCAGGAGTATTATCTTAGTCTACGAACTTTCAAGGTGATCACATTACTGGTCCTTGAACTTAGCCAGTGGTGTCGTCGCGGTCCACGAACTTCCAAAGTGAATATATGTAGGTTTTCTAACTTGGTTAGGGGTGTCAATCCAGTCTATTAACTTTAGGGATCTGAATATACCATTTTGAAAGTTTATGGACTGAGATGACACCACCGGTCAAGTTTATGGACCCACGGTCTTTATTTACATTGCAAGTATTTGAGGTTCTTTGTTCGATTGTGACAAAAATTAATGGATAGAGCGAGCGAGGGGGAAGTTGTTCGGTGTGTTGATTTGGAACAAAGTAGCTACAGCATAGGGGTGATGCGGATCTCAGCGCGTAAGCCATGCGTGGTCCAAAGAAGCTTCTCCGAACTCAAAAGAGCACATGCTGCGTCGTCATCGTGTAGTCGGCGAAATCATGGATCGCATCTGAAACCACCTCAATACCTCATGCCGTCCTTAAAGTGCACAAAAACAAAATTAAAAAGAGCTTTATTTATGGACCTAAACCACTTGGAGAGAGCATTTCCTGGTATGTGTACGCCGATCGATTTAACTTGGTCTGACAGTGACTGTAAGAAGGTATCTCTTGTATCACAAAAGCGAGCTTAACAGACGAACATGTGTGAAATGATGTTCTTTCTTCGAACAATCTGTGTGAGATAATGTCACGTGCATTAATCAAACCTTTATTTCAGTTTTGATAAAGAGTTCCACTGTAGCCTCGCTCTTTAGCTCAAAAGGGAAACCAATTATCGTTCCATGTGTCACTGTCTCCGAGGTATATCTCGCCCAAAGTGCTGCTGTAGTGGTCATAAGGAGAAAAACAACATGAAGATGTTTTTTTAGACACACGACAATTCGGAACTCTAGATCTGCAGTTTCACACAACTATTTTTCACAAAGTTTTCAGCTCAATCGCTGACGAATAACTTAGGGAGCAGAGCACACTAAAATAAAAGAAAATCAAATCCAGTCTAGCTAGTATTGTTGTGCCATCCATTTTTAGTGAAGACGCCCAAAGTAACACTCTCCAATCGTTTTGTTTGCCAAGTGAACCTTCTCCCCTTGTGTCCTCGTACCGCAGTAGAGTCTATAAACCACAACCAATATATGCTCACCAAGATTTAGCATTCATAAATGAAGCATTTTGGTTTTCTCAGAAACAAAGAACAAGATTATTGTGTGTACATCAAATTGTCCAAATAATAGCAACAAGCTCCACAAAAAATGGTTTTCTTAATTTCCACCCTCTCCCAATGCCTGTCAAACAATGAAGCATGTGGACAATGGATCTAGATGGGTTAACCCAATAGCTACATGAACAATGTTCGAAATAGTCTTGTTGAAATAGATCTTAGGCATAAACATGATCTTAACTTAGTCTATACATGATCACTAACATACTTAGTGCGGAAACTCATTTTAGATACTAACCAGAGCCTGAAGATGCCATCTGTGCCTCTGTGGATGTGGTAGAGTTGATGTAGATGAAACAGATCCTTAGTCTTCACCAGACTGGGGCTTGGCGCTCCTGGTTGGTGAAGAACTCAAAGTAGATTTGTAGCAATAGTACCAGGACACGGGTGGACGGCCTTCTGAACCCTCCAACTAATAGATTGGATTGGTGTGTGCTTGGGGGCGTCACCCCCTTATTTATATGCATTGCGGGCCCAGGGGCCAAACCCTAGTAGACCTATTAGGGTTGTCACCAATCACGTCAAAGGGTTATATGACATTATAGGCAATATTTGGTGGACTTAATAATTATTGCCAAACTAATATGTTGGCCTGAAATCACATTCGAACAAGTCTTAGCTTTATGGCAATAGAAAAAAGAGGTGTTCAACTATTCATTTCAATGACAACACACTTCTAGCTATCAGTCGAATTCCTCTTAGGTAAATTGTCCTTTGTTAATATAACATCTACCTTGAGGTACCAAAGGAACATGCTTATCTTAAGAGGGAGCTTCAACATCCAAATGATATATTTTTTGGTACAAAAGGTATCCAAATTTATTAAGTATAGGTACATTGACTATACTGAGAGTTGACTATGATCATTTTAGGTCCCATTAAAAAAGCACCGCTCTCATGCAAAAGTTGAACGTATGCTATTTTAGCAACTTGGTTTAGCAAAAAAAAAACAAGTCTAGGATTAAAATGAGGGAAACTTACGGACCTGGCCCATTGAAATTGATGAATCTTGGAAATTTCAGGTGCCCTTTTAGAAATCATGTTTTAATGAAATTTGGTTAAATTGTGTTCAAAGTTTGACCTAGAGTTGGAAACCAATGGATATGGATTTCTAGGTTTTCACTTCTATGCTGAAGGAAGGATTTGTAGCCTTGTTTACACTTTTCATTGGACAAAAGAATCAAATTAGACCAAAACTTTTACTTGTTCGACACTATTTCAAGCCTCATCAAAGTTGGTTAAATTTGTTGAATTTCTGCAGTCCAAATCCTAAAACCCTTCCTAAGTGAATTTTTTAAAACTCCAAAAACACTAGCATTAGCAATATATCATTGTCTTCCAAACTACTACCGCTAGATTTGTTGCACCCAAACAGCTCGTTGTTTTTCAAACCATTGTTTAAGCAATATATCATGGTCTTTCAAACTATCTGCAGAATCTTTTTCACAACAACATAAATGATGAACAAGAATATTACAGTCACCGAAACAAATGTTGTTTTGGACAAGATGGCATGTATGGCTCTACATCATGGAAAATGAGCGAAATCAAATAAGGGCAAGTGTAGTGGGTTGAATAAAAGCTTCCTAGGGGGCGATATGCCAAAAGTCAAGTGACACGTATGGTGGTTTTTGCAATTTCCCCTTTAACTTAAAAGAGGTGTGATGTAAGACCCGTTTGGTAGGAATATTGTATTGTTTCTTGAAAATTGTTTATGTTCCAATTTTTTCTAAGAAATATGCATTTATCTAGTAGAATTTATGTTTCTTGGGAAATTGTCTAGCAAACTAGGGTTTTTTGTGTTTTTGCCATGATTTTCGCTGGATATTTATATATTGTGAAAGTGGAATCAGAAAAAACCTTACCAAACAAACCTTTATTACATGGTCGAAACATAATTTAACGACATACCTATAGATGTACAAAAGGCCCACGGCCCATGACTCGGGGTTTTGACCCGGCCCGATGGCCGTTGAGCCTATGCCGTCCTGTTGTGACTATGGAGTTGTGCTTGGACTCCCTCGACTCAGCTTGCCAGCCTAGCCCGGTCCAAAATAATGTTTGGCGCAATCCTAGCCCAAATCCCCACATGCCCAGCCCCCGCTCCTACCGCCCACCATATATTCCCCCACCCGGCTCCCCTCCCTCGCCTTCCGCCCCCCACCCAGCTTAATCCTAGCGTGGAGCGCCCTATCGCCACAACCGCTCGTCTCTATAGACCCCTCCTCCTCGGCTCCTCCCTTGACAGCTCTACTCGCCTCATCTCCTTGCCGGATCTACAATCAACAGCCCATGACTTGGCTAGGCCCATGTCGTGCTGTGTCGGGCGGCCCATTTGGCCATCTATAGGTGCACACCCGTCTAGTGATAGGAGAAGACGAAAAGTTAGCTGGTGACATATATATACCTCGAAGAAGGTTTCGACTATCCATAGCATGAGGAGTCCACTTGCATAGTATCATGAGCAGTAGCAGTAGGCCAGCAACGAGGAATGACGAGGGCCTTCTGGTAAAATCAACATCCACGTTATCGTATAAAGATCTCCATACTACCACAGCGCAGCAGCCCAAGACACTAAGATCACCACTGCCCACTGCCATGCTCACTCCCCTCTTCTCAGCGGCCATGGAGCCCCAGCACGGCGAGAAGGAGCTCCCGCTTCTCCTCCTCCCCACAACCACACCTCTGAACGCTGCCTTTCTCCACGCCCCTCGGTCGCCTGCCAGCCCCTCTGACCATCCGCAGCTGGACCTGAGCCTGTCCATCAGCATTGGGCCACCGACGCCACGGGCAGCAGATAATCAAGGACGAGGCACTACGGCTGCTGACCAGAGCAAGAGGGTGGCGGCGTTGGCGGACGTGCAGGCGCTGAAGCAGCAGGCGGCGGAGCAGGCCCGGATGGCGTCGGCGGAGCGGGCGTACGCGGAGCGCGTGATGGAGCTGGCGCGTCGGGAGCGGGAGCTGGCGGAGCGGGAGTTCGCGCGGGCGCGGGCCATCTGGGAGCGCGCCCGCAGCGAGGTGGAGAAGGTGGAGCTCGTCAAGGCCATGGCCGCGCGCCGGATCGCCGCTGGCTCCGCCGCCGCGCTCGAGATCACTTGCCACGCCTGCATGCAGCGCTTCCACCCTTAATAATCGGCACGCCGCACGCCATGCATGCTGTCATAGGCTCACAGCTACCGTGACTATATAGTACTACTAGTAGTTTTACATTAGTTGGCTGTTAAGAACTTTGTTTATGAGTATTTTTGTGGCATCAGTTAATGCAGGCTTTGATCGCTTCATCGTCGATAAAGGGAAAAGACAGATCGAGAGCAGATCAATGTTCTTCGATCTCTTGCTTTCTCGCAGAATACATACTGCATCGTTTGAGCTTGAGCCAGCCTAAAAGGAGAGGGAAAGGGAATCTAGCCAGCAGTTTAGCTTTAGCTAGTGCTGTACAATTTGGAAGGATAAGCTGGCCTCACTGTTGGCCGCCTTTGCTTGCGCAACTCATGCTTGCTTGCTTCTGCTGGGACCTCGATCTGACAAAGAATTCAGGGTGGTTTAGTTTGTAGTAATTCGTGTTTTATGTCTGTGTTTTATATGAAATGAAAATTATGAAATATATAGTTTCATTCCTCGCTTGTGGGGACGAAGCCAGATATTCTTTCATCATCTATAAAAAAACACATAGGAGGAATTCCAAGGTTCCAAACGTAACTTAGAGCTGCCGTGCCGTATCCATCGTCAAGGCCAGATCTGGATCCTGGACCATGCATGCTTGATCCAAAGCATGAAAGCATGCATGTCAAATACGTACGGCAGCCAGTAGTGACAGTCTGATAGACATTCAGAGACAGTGAAGGGTGGATAGCAGCCCTGTAAAGATGGTTACCCAGAGACGAGCAGGAGTAGGGGCAGTAAGCGTCGTCAGCAGATTCCTGCACGGTTATTCCTCAGCCATCACTCTTACCCATGAACAGCTGCGGCCTATACAAGCTGAAAGGGAAGGCACAGACATGGCACGCACAGTGTGTCGATGCTGCCAATTCCAATGCCAGGCCAAGATGTCGGCACTCCATCGGCAGAAAGGATCTTACTGTGCCGCTACAGCTACTTAATTTCCTTTTTATCATTTCTTACATTGGTCCTGGCTTTTGTATTTAGGTTAGGATGTGTAATCCGGATTTTTTATTTACTGTGTGTAATCCCATCTGAAAGGCACTGGTTTCTGCAAAATTATTATTTTCCAAACATACAGGTTCCCTCCAGCAGCACAGCTCGTCTACTCTGAAGTCTGAAACTGTTTATCTAGTATGTAGGAAGTTTAGTTCAGGCTTCGGTGATGTCATCATGTTCAATTAGCAGTAATGTTTTCTTTTGACAACCAACCATCACGAGACTGTGCCAATTTCATTTCATATAGAGCAAGATCGGCAAATGTTAGCAACAGCATATTGAACTGCCATAATTCAAAGCCAGGAGAATGTCCGGCTGCCAGTGCCAGTAGTATGATCCAAATGCATGACTGGTGTGTAATGCTTATGCATGGTGGAATCAAAGGAGGTTCCCCCGGGCCTCTCATTGCTTTGATCTAGACCAGACATGATGAGGTGATGAGCAACCTCTTAGAAAGTAACCTACCGACTCGGAACAACCGAAACATCGCTAGCAAAAGCCAACCCATGTGCCCTGCCTTTTGCACTTGGGAATCTTGTCCTCACATCACTTGATGGTGTCGATCAGTCCAGGTTTCTTTCTTGAGCCCTGATCAGGGATGCTCTTTGTACTGCATCCTTTGCTGGTACTGCTGTCTTGCAAACATTATTCAGCCATTCATGGTTGCTATCATATTACAGGCAGCATAACTGCCAATGCTAGGTTTCGTATTTATTTATGTAAGTTTCTCAACAATGGCAATCACAGTACAGACTATAGAGATGACGACGAGCAACATCAAAATGGGCTGTTGATCGATGTTCATATGTCCACCGTTGAATTGAAACATCGATCCACGGTATGGCACCACTGTGCATGCATATAGATGATCCAAACAGGGAACCTGACAGACATAAGCTAACAGAAGATGGAGTAGCAGGTACGTACCTTTAGTCTCGCTCTCGCAAGACAACAGGAAGCAGGGAACAAAGTAGAAGCAGATGGATGTCCTGTGCCCAGATCGACGAGGACAGATACACTGCACGGATGACACGCTGCGTTCCAATTCAAAAGTTTATGTCTTGTGCAGATAGAGGCTGAATAATCTGTATGCAGTATAGTAGGCGCGCAATAATGTTGATCATGAGGGTGAGCTGAGCACACAACTATTGCATGTAAATAATGACCATTTCATCAGGTGCGGATCAAAGCCTTCCTACAGACACCAATTGATTTGATTGTACAGAGAACAGAGCTGTAGTCCTCACCATTTTTCTGGCATTGGGAGGCCATTGACAAGATATTCCTCCATTTGATTGCCAAGGAGCGAGCGAGAAGAATTTAATTTGGGTTTGTACGCTACTCGATGTCCGGAGTCCGGACTACTAGTGAGAGCGAAATGACATGCTTCTGGCAGGCATGGATGAGCAATGGGGCTACCAGTCCAGCTCCAGCAGCGAGTAAAGGGGTCCCCGTGGTCACTCCTAGTCGTGTCATGGACTCGTGGGCACTGCAAGTGCAAGCTAGGCTCCCGGCATGTGCAGTGCACTCAGCAGTGTTAGCTTCAAATTGCGTCACTGTGTCAGTCCAGCAGCGTCCGACGATAGAAGTGGTGTGGCGCGATGAAATCCTTATCGGTAACCTCACGACAAACAGACGACACAAACAGAGACGAGAAATTCACTCGCCAAGAATGGAGCTAATAGCTAGCAGACAGGCAACGAGGAAACCAATAATTCAGGCGCCCGGTCATCCATCTCAGAACACAGATAGGTAGCATAGTCGATTCTGAAAGGAATGTGAAAACCTGATGGAAGCCAACAATGATAGAGTTCCCGGCCAGTTGATCGTCTCGTCGATCTCCGTCCATGGACAGCTAGCGCAAGGCGATTATAAGTGTAAGGTCCATGAGAATCCAAAGAGGACTGCCTGAAACGATCTCTCCATCCTAGCTTGCCAAGTTGCCACCCATAGTCGAGTGCCGGGTCGTCTCAGCTCGTCGGCCGATTCCTGGAAGACGAAGCCAACAAGGAGAAGGCAGGGAATTCTGCAGGCGGCAGAGGGAACACGAGAAACTATTCCGCCAGTTCGCTACCTGGACGACGCACTGCATCCGGCATCGCGGCGCGGTGGCGGTATGCTGCCGTGCGGGTGCTCCCAGCTTTCTATCAGTGGAGCTGGTGCGGGAGAGAACCACTCCAATAGATTTTGCTCCCTCCGTCAAAAAAAAAAAAATCTATCTTAAGTTGATTTATTAAAAAATATATCAATATTTATATTTTCAAATATACATACTATATAACATATGTTTCATCCGTAGTCTAATGATGCATGTTACTCATCATAAATATTAGTATATTTTTATATGTATTTAGTTAAATGTAATATTATTGACTACTCAAAAACGAGAGTTACATTTTTTTGGGATGGATCACTAGTACAGAATAGATTTTCGGATATGAGAACCCTTTTTATTTTTTGAGGCAGGCAAGCCATAATCTCTAAGACTCTAACCAAAGGTCACTGTAGGTGGTCAAAATGCCTGTCTCTAAAAATCGAGTAACAAAGACAGGCATTTTAAGATGTTTGGCTCTGGGCTCTAAAAATTGATTTTCAGTGACGCTCGCCTTCATTAATAGTTTCTAGAAAACTGAAAAACAAATAATCAAACAAAAAAAGTACTCATATCCGAAAACAAAAAACTCCTGTATTGAAAAAAGTTTCAATTATAAAATTTTAAATCTTGTCAAGCACTACAACTTTGCCGTAGGATGTGTCTCCATTCAAGATAGTTTGAAAATTTCAGAATTTTGAATACCAAAACATGCCAATTTAAAACAAATATTTGAGACACTAAAAAACTCTAACTAAAGAACTTATCAACAACAAATATGTAGATCAGACCCACAACTTCGATATTAACTATGTGAATATTTGACGCCATTTAGAAATTCTAAATTTTTACTTTGAAAATCTATGAACTCAAAATGCATATTTAGAACTCTAAATGACTACAATAAAAAACTTTTCAACTACAAAGTTATAGATTGTATTAAAAACTATAACTTTGGTATAGATCATGTCAACACCTAAGGTTGTTTGAAATTTTTAAATTTCAAATTTCAAAATTTATGAACTTAAAGAGGACTCTAAACAACTTCAAATCAAAAACTTCTCAACTACAAAGTTATAGATCGCGTCGAAAGCTACAATTTTAGTATAAAGTTTATCTTCATCCAAGTATATGGAAAAAGTTATGAATTATATTTATATGTAACTATTTATAGAGGCGTGTATAAAATACACGCTTCTAAAAATTTATTTCTAGTGATTTTTAGAGATAGACACCTGAAAATAGATTTACGGGCATGAGGGTCCTAAGATAACTCTAAATGGTCATTTTTCTAGAGTTTATTTGACCATTTACAGAGGTGGTCTCTAGATGTACTCGTTTAAAGTCATTTTAGTGGTAGTGGATAGAGTATATTGCAATAGATTTGACTAGATTTAGAGCCGTCACTACAACACAAAATATTGGAGACCGTCAAAATGTGTTTGTATTTGTTGAGAATTATTATTTAGTGCTCAATTAGGGATTATTCTAAGGGCTGTCTTTTCACCCCTCTCTCTTTCAAACTTATAATCGTCCTCACGGGTCCTGTATATAAATGTACACACTGTTCATTGGGAATACAACAAAGAATCATTTGCATCACTCGCTTATCTCTCGGTCCCTAATTTCTAACACGTTATCAGTCACGTTGTTCTTCCATGAGAAGAAGGCCGGACAAGCAGTTCGTTGAAGAATACCGACAGCGATGCTGTTCTTCACGGTAGATTACAGGATCTGGATGCCTTGTGTAACGCCCCAGCTTGGGAAGACGGCTCAGATCCACTCTACATGTTGAATGGACCACACCTGCTAATTAACTCTCTTGCGCTTTCGTTCTCGCTTCACGCAAAAGGTTCAAACCAGAGTTAATTCCCTCCTA